GAGGGAAGGTTTAAGTTGGACATCAGGAGGCGCTACTTCACGGTCAGGGCGGCTAGAGTCTGGAACCAGCTTCCAAGTGAGGTGGTGCAGGCTCCCACCCTGGGGGTTTTTAAGAGGAGGTTGGATGACCACCTTACTGGGGTCATTTGACCCCAGTGCTCTTCCTGCCATGGCAGGGGGTCGGACTAAATGATCTGCTCAGGTCCCTTCCGACCCTAGAAACTATGAAACTGGCTTGCCCAAGCAAGCTACACAATATTTTTGAGCATCCCAATAAAACAGTGTATTTTATATACCTGCCCCTTTTACTTACCTGTTCTAAGGCAGAAAGCAGTTAATTTAGAGATGCATGAAATCAGATTTTAGCCTGTGATTCATGTTGGGGAGCAAATTGTCTCTACAGTAAGGATGAGTTTCAGTCCTTTGAAAATGTATCTTCATATGTAGGTATTTGGAACAAGGATAGATGCTTATACTTAAACAATTCCACCATGGGCAAGGGTAGGACAAAGCCATTGCAAAGCCTCAAGAAAGAGCAATTTCAAGCTGAGCAATTCCATACCAGGGCAAAACAAGAACACTTTTACTACTAGGTTTGGAGTTTCTTCTGCTTGTTTATCTGTTTGGGTTTTGGGGTTTTGTTGGTTTCTTTATGTTTGAAGCTTCTGAGAGTTTCGCAATCCTAGAATTAAGTCTTGGGGGTGGATTTGTTAACAGTACTGATGAAGTAGTTACAAAGCCCTAATGATCACAAGTATTCACCTCTTTTTATGCAAGGGTGTGAGTGTGCATCTATAATGCACACAAATGTGATGAACCCAGGATATGTCATGACTTAGGGAAGGTTAATTTATCCATGAATGGGTTTTGGCAGGTGCAATTTGCTGAACAAAATTAAAAAAATAATCAGGATAAAGAGAATTGAGAAATGTTTCTTTGGTGGACTGATTTTTTTTAAATGCTGGTTATTTGAAGCTGCTATCTATTTTAATATTAGATGAAGTCCCTAAAGAGGTGGATTGGGCAGGTGATTGGGCAGGTGATAACATATGAGAGTATATTATGTTACACATATTATAGTTTTATCATATGCCCATGTAATTTATCCCATACCTAACACCTCCATAATTAAAAATGTATGTTTTTTGCATATATGTATAGATCTCTCATTTTGATGTATGAAGATGTGAGTATGTATGTACATAGTTCTTCAATGCAGAGAACAATAATGTTAACCCATTGTCAAAATGTAAATGTTTTCAAATTAACAAGCAAAAAATCTTTTAAAAATTACTATAATATCATCTGAAGGATGAACAAGGCATTTATTTAAGGAGGTTGATGATAACTTATTTGTTACCTTCTTTGTATTAGTCTATTGGATTTGTACATGTAAGAATAGACTATGAGACTAAATTAGATAATATTTGATTAATCTCAACAAACTTCCTTAACATTTACTTTACTAACTGCCTAATAGGAGTGAAATCTGAAATTCACTCTGCATTCTGATTCTAATAAGTCATTTGCATCCTGCAGTATTTGCAAGAAAAGGGTTCTGAAGTACTGTGGTTACATACTTGTATGGTCAAATTGCCTCCCCATTCTGAGCCTCAGTTTCCCCATCTGTGAAATGGGTAAAATGACATTCACTTGATTTGCAAAATGCTCTGATATGAATGAATAGCCATATCTGAGAGCTAATTATGAAAGCTGTTGAGCTGTGAGACACCCTCTCAATGTATATGTCTGTAGTGTAGAACAAAATAAAATATGGTTACTTTCTGAATCTTGTTGTATAAATTACAACCCCACAAATAGATAAGAGGTCAGCTTTTGAAATCATGGAAAGTCCCTTTCATTAACAGGTTGCTAACCTTTGGGTTTTGCTTTACCTGTAGACGACTGAACACATTGAACAAGTGTGCCTCAATGAAACTCGATGTGAACTTCCAAAGGAAAAAGGTAAGTGAACATTATTCAGTGTTCAGGTTTAGTTCAAACCATTGCAAAAAGAGTTCCTGAAATTGGGGTCCCCCAGTTAGGAAATCTCTTAAATTTAAGTTAAGAATATGTAACTTTAAGCATATGTTACATCCTGTCTTGAAGAGGAGTAGTTTCATGAATGAGAAATTTAAATGCAAGTGAAAAATAAAGAGCTCTGAACAGAACAGAAGGTTCAATGTTAAGAGACTTACAAGGACACCTGCAGTAATTTAAACATGCAATTTATAGTAGTGGGGAAAACAGCATTTAACTTGCTGTGTTGTTTATGAAATATTTTTGCATTTCCCCATGCTGTATGATTGCATAATAGAAACTCTTACCAAGAAAAAAATGGAAGCTGCTTGACAAACAGTAGCTTCCCTTGTTTCTTCTGCTGACTTGGCATTTCTTAAGAATATGAAAATAAACCCTGTCATATATACACTTTGTTATGTAACACATACATTATTTAAAGATTAAGGGGTTTGATTAAAGAATGCAGAAAATGCCTGTTGGTTTTTTAAAAATTGTAATAGGTCCAGCATAACAGTTGAATTTTTGGTTTCCCAATTACATTGCCCCAAGGGCACATAATCACCAGTGTGTAACAGCAATCATTGGTTCTGGGGAATATTCCTATATATTTCTCAGAACAGTTGTGTAAAGCTCCCTGAAAGATTCCTACTTGAGATGTTTCTTATTATACCATTGGCAGCTTATTCTATTTATGCCCTGTTCATTCTGTGAAAGAACTTAGAGAAAAGTGTTTAATGAACAGGTATTTCATAGATTTCATAGACATTAGGGCTGGAAGG